TTTCAGAATTAGTAGGAGGATGTAATGTCTAACTCTCCATACGTGGAAAAAGCTGTGAGGTCTTTGTTGAACTCCAACTCTTCTGCTGTATCTTCTGAATCTGTGATTCTCTGACTTTTTCTTTCTCAGCACCTGATACTGACACAAAATTTTATTCTTTTGTTTTAAAAAAAAGCTGCATGAGGAAGTGCAGTTATAGTGAGGGTGAGTTTAGATCTTGGACAGGAATTCTAAATTCGGTGCCCGTGTAAGGGGAGTTGAGAGAAGCATGAATTACATGTTTTATTAGTCTCATGGATTTCTGTCAGAGATGTCAATTCAAGGGTAAGATTCCTTCTTTCCATCTGAGCAACATCACTGCTTCCTTCTACATCTGTTTCTCCATTTATAGAAGAGAAACAGTAATTTCTTATTAATATGTGCTGAAGATAAAACTAGTGATCTTACATGGGCTCAAGGTTCTGAAGAGGTAGGTACCTACTTTTAAGTAGTAGGTACGATGTGCTTTCTGCTGATCCTTGTAAAGTTTTTCCATTCAACAACTGAAAGGGGAAATGAAAAGGCTACTTACCTCTACAGTACTTGACTCATGGTTGGTTTTTTTTTTTACATTGTTTATCTTTCCTTTCCAACTGCAACGGTTTTCTTTGAAGCTGCAGGCTCTGGGAAAGGGACCAGCTACAAGTAAAAGCAAAGACGACCTTGTGGTGGCAGAGGTAGAAATCAATGATGTCCCCCTCACGTGCAGAAACCTGCTGACGAGAGGACAGACTCAGGATGAGGTATGTTCAGGATCTAAGTCTCATTTGTTAGGTCTGGCAGCATGTTTGTACCTAAGGTTAATAGGGCTGCAATAAATTATAGTCAGGGGTAGTTTCTTGTTTTTACAGAACTCATGTTTTCTTGGACATTTTGTTTAGCAGTTTATTGGTTTGTTCCACAAAATGTCATGTGAAGAGGTGACCTAGCACAGGTAGTATCCTTTAGCGGGCACCATTCATTCTCTCACCACTTTGTTAATGATTTTTGGTCTTTTTATACAACAACGTAGCTTCAACCGCCTTGGGGGTTTTGTGTGTGCTTTGGTTAGTATTGGTAAACTCGTCACCAGGGTTTTTTTAATTGTTTGTAGATAAGTCGACTGAGTGGAGCAGCTGTTTCTACTCGAGGGAGATTCATGACTGCAGAGGAGAAAGCAAAAGTGGGACCAGGGTTTGTATTTCTTTTTGGGGGTTTCTGCTATTTTTGTCTCACTGGGTGGCAAAGTGGTGGGGGTTTTGTTTGGTTTGTTTTTCATGGGTGGCGTCACCTTTGGGTGCCAGAGTGCATTGACTGTCACGTGTCTCGACTACATTGGCCATTGTGATAGTACTGACCGCGTAGCTGCTCTCCTACCTTCTTCATATCGATCGGGTGGAGTTAAAAATAAAACCCACCACAAACAAATCACAAATGTGACAGATCAGGCTGTGCTGAACTTCCTCCAACTGAACACTGTAATAATGTGCGTTTTGCCAAGAATGGGCAACTTTCCAATTACGGAGGGAGCTAATACTGCGTAGACTTGATGCTTTTCTTTAGTTAGGCTTTCACATGGACAAGCACATTAAGGTTTTCAGTGGTATAACTTCAGCAAGTCATCATGTAAATAACTTCTGACTGTCTCTAGTTTTCAGTGCAAAGCTGCGCTTACGAAGCACTGTGATATCCAAGAAATATGTGTTTACTTCCTTGCTTGAAGAGTATCTCAAATCTTTAGGGAAGACTTTGTGTCTAGATGACTGTAATATAATGAGATGGGATACATCATCATATGTTCCCTGTGGGTTTAATACAGTATTTGACATTTCCTTTCCAGAGATCGTCCTTTGTACCTTCATGTCCAGGGTCAGACACGGGAATTGGTTGACAGTAAGTGTACAAAGGACTCTGCTTTTCTCTCGTTTATTAGTGATGAAAGGGTTTTACTAAAGGTCTTTATGACCCGTGTAGATTTGTACTACAAACACCTCTGTGTTGATAACAGACCCCATTTAAACGTTGATGTTAAAGTCTCTGCTCAAAACTACTTAAGGTGCTGCATCTTCTAAGTCATGAAGCTAATACTCTTGATAGACTTCAAAGAAGGTGGGGGAGTAGATAGGGTTCCCGGGCAGGTACAGCCCTTACGTACAAGTTTATTTTCTGATAACACCGAGATCCCCGTGCAATGGGTGTGTGACAGGGAAACCTTCCCGGTAGTATGCCAGTATGAACAGTTTTTGTGAAATACCTACGTTTCCATGGGAAGCACAAAGAACACTGCTCTTGCTTATGCCTGCTGGAAAAAAAGGAAAGCTGTCAACTGTTCAGATGCTTGTTTGTTCTGTGTATCAGTTCATGGGCTTGCCCTTGGTTGTCTTTGGAAACTTTCCATAGCCAGTAAACAATTTTTCACGTGTCAGTTTGCTCATTCGTGCAGATGTGGATTCTATACAGGGTTAATGTGAATGTTTCTAGCATTTGCTAGAACGTGTGGGCGAAAAGCTGCCTACTTTTGTATATTAGCCTAAGCTCTGTCAGGGTGGGGGTAGAGAAAGAACCCTGATGCTTGTTGCCATCCTTTGTGATCCGATCTCAAAATGCTAACGTTGGGCCCCACCATCAGATGGAATCTTTTGGCCTGTAGATCTGCTGTCACAGAATATAGGGAAGTAACCAAACTGTGAAGTGACTAGGTGAATCTGGGCAGTTGGCAAGGGCTCAAATATGAGAGTTTCATATTCTGTCAACTAGGAGCCGTTAACCGAATTAAGGAGATAATTACTAATGGAGTGGTGAAGGCAGCCACGGGGTCTACTCCGACGTTCAACGGCGCTACAGTTACTGTCTATCACCAGCCCGCCCCTATTACTCAGTTGTCTCCAGCCGTTGGCCAAAAACCTCCATTCCAGTCAGGGGTGAGTAATTCAGTTCTGTGACTTTCATGGAATGTTGCTGATCACGAGAGTTGCCTGTTACAGAGTACACATGTAATGTGCTATTTGTTAAAACAAAACAACCCAAAAAATAGAACCCGTTGTTGCCTGTTGCGAGAACTGGAGGACTGATCAGGCTGAGTCTGAAGAGAGCCAGATGAGACCTCCTAAGAGACAAGGGGTGGAGAGAGAGAGAGAGAAGAGCAAAGGGCTGACTGTGCTGTCTGTCACTTAACTGTTCTGACTGTCGTGGAAATAAGATTTCTGGCCTCGTTCTTAGGGTGAAGTAGTAACCTTTCACTGTTACATTTCCAGATGCATTATGTTCAGGACAAGTTATTTGTGGGTCTGGAACATGCTGTACCTACATTTAATGTGAAGGAGAAGGTGGAAGGGCCTGGTTGCTCTTACTTGCAGCACATTCAAATTGAAACAGGTGCCAAAGTCTTTCTCCGTGGGAAGGGCTCAGGTTGCATAGAACCGGCGTCGGGCAGAGAAGCTTTTGAACCCATGTACATCTACATCAGGTATGAGGGCTTTAAAAAAACACCACCGAAAAATCCCAGTGAGCACTCATGAATGTAGCTTAATGTTTAATCACTTTGGGGAATGCTTAATTCTGACTGGCTTAATGCGTATGAAATAGGTTTTGAACCTGACTTTTGTTTTTAGAGAGATCCCTGTAAAGCAATAAACGTATCAACCAGTTGATACAGTATAAAGTGATACTCGGCCATAAGATACTGCTTTTATGTGGGACACAGTAAAGCTGCATTCTTTTTGGGCTTGTTGCGATGTCAGGTTTCAAGGGAAGAGTGCAAAACGCACTGGCTAATCGTCAGTGTTTGTGCTTGTTTCTAGCAGTATTTAGACTAAGCTGAATTTTCAAGTAGAAAATAAATACTCATTGCTTTGGCTTGCAATTGTGCTAAAGAGCTGCTAGAGTCCTCTTGAGGTGACTGAGGGATCAGCTCTGACAGCAAGGTTGCTGATGAAAGAAGTAGCTCCCAAATTTGGTGGAAACATTTGTGCTTATGAGGTATTTTTGTATATGTTTTCAGTCACCCAAAGCCAGAAGGTTTGGCAGCTGCTAAAAAGCTGTGTGAGAATCTATTGCAAACCGTGAGTAGCTCGTACAAACAGGAGATTTCGGAGCTTGTTGTAGCTTTAGTGTGTGCCTGGCTAATTTATTTTTTTTGTTAATGCTCTCAGTGAAACTGTCTGTGTGTTCTGACTTGCTAATAGATTTTTCCTTCAAGTATTGCTGTCTGATTTTGTGCAGTGAATAAATATTTCTCAGGATGGAGCTATAGTAGTTGAATTTTGAAGGGAAAAATGCAAATGCTTCTGGAGTAGAATGGGGGGTGGAAATTGTCTGATTGTATGCAGACATAAAGGAATCCTGGGGTTTCCGATGGCTGTGGCTTCCCTTGCTTTAGCTGTAGAAGTTGTCCAGAGCCACACTGGCTGCTTTAGCTGTCCTAAAGTGATGGCTGTACCAAAAAAACTTGGAACATCTCTCACATGTACACATAGAAAATTAATTTCTCAGCATTTGTTATTTGTGTGCAAATGGAGTAAAATCCCGTGAGACGATCTTCCCGTTAGTGTTGATAATCAAGTATGGGCTGCAAAGTCTCTTGTAAAAAGAATCTAAAAGCTTCCTTGTATTTTCTCTCTACTGAAAGAATGTTTGCCACTCTGTATTTGTCTCTACTGATGTAATTAGTCTGCCACTCCATATTTCCTGTGAAAGATGATCCTGTGTTATACACAAATCTGTCCCAGAGACCAGCAGGATTAGTGGGATGTTCGGTGGAGTTTTGGTGGTTTGGTCTGTGGATTTTTGTTTTCAGGTTTTATGTTTGGATTATTGCTGTCCTTGTGCATAGTGTGTTCTGTAACCAACGTCCCCTTACAGTTTTATGGGGGTGCACAGTAAATGCCTTTTGCCTGCAAAATATCAATACAGTAAATAGGTGTTTATTGTCTAATATTTTAAAATCCTTCCTAGGTTCATGCCGAATACTCCCGGTTTGTGAATCAGATCACCACTGCAGTACCTTTAGCAGGTAAACCGAAGTCTTCAGAATTGTATTCAGCAGAGGTGTACTTACAGTTAGTTTTATGGAATTTATTTACCTGTGGAATTCTTTGTCTTAAGTCCCTCAGTTAAAAAGAGTCCAGCTTCTGTTACATTTGGTACTTCAGTTGACTGGTTTTATTATCTTGGGAGTACTGGTGGATGGAAAGCT